TCCAGGTCTAGGTACAAACCAAGTCAGCCGAGGGCGTCCAGAAGGAACACACCAGCTAAGAGAGGGCAGCGTGGCCGCTGGGGGCAGGCGCAGCTTCCAGGTACCTGAGCGCGGGGTTGGGGGCGGAGGAGGGGACGAAATAACAAATTCACACCAGCGGAAGAGGCGCGGCTCTGCGCAAAGGGCACAAGAACGGCCAAGGCAGCAAATAGGGCGGTTGGGCGGCTCTCGGATGCACATCCACACTTGGCAGTGGTCCAAGAAGAATACAGCCAGTTCGCTCTACAAGGTGAAGTCCGGAGCTTGTGGGGTCAGTTTGACGAGAGAGCCGTCTCCTGTTTCTCAGTTCTCCAGGGATAGAACAGTTTCATCTCCTTTGTAGACGAGTGTGTCGAACTGTAGTGCTTCGTCATTGGTAGTGTTAGTAAAGTTTCCACTACATTGGTGTGTGTGCACGCGCGCTCACGAAGGATCCTGACGTTGCCATTACAAAACTCCCACGCCAGGACAAGTTTCCTTCTTGGGTTGACAGCAGTCTCGCAGGCGAGCGATGGAGACAGGAGTCCATCCTGGTGGCGTGCAGGCAGAGGGCCGCATGCTGGCGGGTCTCGGAAAGGCTCCGCTGTCCGGCCCTGCAGAGCGGCTCTGTTCCCAGGACCCATTCAGCGGCCGAGCTGGGACTGCCTCTACATGGATTTGGAATCAGCGTCTCTCTTGCTGATGAGCACCTCCAAGAGCCGAAGTTTCGCCTTTATGTGCTTGTATTCGTTGTATTCTTCAGCCATCGGAGTGCGGTCTTCCTTCTGGACGTTTCTAATGGAAACAAAGAACATGTGGGTAGGGGGTCATTTTCTCTTTCCTAGACAGGTGGGATTATCCCCAGGAGGCGGCTTTGCAATGTATACGCCTTCAGGGCCAGCACTACCGAACATCACTTGGGTATGGAGTCTGGAGCTCTGGAGCTCGATTTAGACGAGGAGCAAAGGCCAGCTCCCCCCACCCCCCACATCCGGGGCCCCACCCCAGACCCCCCACAGTGTGTGCCTGAATTTGGGGGTAGTCAGTTTGACACGGTGTAGAATGATACGCAGCACCAAGAAATGGCAAGAATCTCTCTCTCTGCCCTTAAGTGTGAGTTCACATTGAGAGTCTCGACACTGCAACCCTTAATTGATCGTCAGAATGTAATGTTCTTTTCATCGGCATATATGGCACCTTTTGGGAGCCCTGGTGGCGTGGTGGTTACAGGTCGGGCTGCTAACTGCAAGGAACAGCAGTTCAAAACCACCAGCTGCTCCGAGAGGGAGAGCAGGGCTTTGTATTCCTGAAACACAGGGGCACCTTTATCCTGTCCTATAGGGTTGCTATGGGTCAGCATCAGCTCAATGTCAGTGAGTATGATTTTCGGGTTTTTTTGGTCATGGGCCCATTAAATTTCAAATTAGGAATTCATAGCCTCAAAAATTACCCACTACAAAGAAGAGATAGCAAATACTCATTATAAAATGAGTTTTGAAATTCAGCAGCTAGATCACATCATATTAGTAAGCCCTGTCTTATTTTTAAGATGCACAAAAGCTATTCTCTGAGTATCCAGCACGACACCTGGGACAAATCCAGGGCTAAGCATATTGCACTTGTGATCCAATAGAACCTTTACAATGACTTGAGGCAATGGGGTTATGATCCACATTCTACCTCCTATTCCTACCAGGCCTGGAAGGCAGGTGGCCTCTCTGCAAAGCTGGTGCTATTACCCACCATGCACTTCCGTGCATCTGATTCGCTTTGAAGTGCACAAGCTGCACAAAGTCAAGGCTTCCCTTCTGGACTATGGAAGAGGAAATACAAGGAAGGCTTACTTCACGTAATTCAGCGAACTAAATCTAAATGCGTCTTATTGGTACCTTGCCTTCTCCTCCCAAAGGAGCTCTTCAAAGAAGCTTTACAGTGGGCAATACTTAGAGTCCCATTTCCTTATCTCTCCCTCTACATTTCCTAAAGAAACTAAATAAGCCAGGGCTGTGGAGTGGTGATTCAACTTCCATTGCTCATTGGAGATTAGAATTTGACATGAAAGGTTAGTATTATAAATAAGTGTTAGCTGAGTCTGCATCCGGTTTGGAACAAATCTGGGATAGTTCTTCCCGGGGGATTGCTTAAACCTCACCAACTCACAGCACACCTTTAGGGTCCCTAAGCATATCCCCCCAGGACTGGACTGCAGAGGAGTAGCCACTTTAGAGACAACCCACCATTCTGACCGAGAAGACAGGGGTGGATGGGGTGAGGTGGCAGGGCGGGGAGGAGAAACAAACACACTACCTTCCATTTTGTCTGAAAAAATTGTCTTCAAAGTCACGAAGTTTCTTTCGAATTCTTTTTTTTTCTTCTCTCATTTCCTGAAGGTGTTCCAAGAGTTCAGGTCTGAGAGGGCAGAAGACATGAAGACACTGGGATTGAGTCCACAATGTGAGGAAGCATGCGCAGCTCCATGCAGGTTGTGGAGCGAGGGGGAAACACGCAGAGGGAAACAGACCAAACCAGATCTAGGGAGCGTCCATCTTAGCAGCGTGGGTACTTTGCAGTGCTTGGGGGACAAAGATGGCATCTGTACTCAATGTGTGTGAAATTATGAGCCGTGGTGACAGAACCACACCATGCCGCTTCTAGAGACCTTCCAGTTCTTTAAACAAGGTCTCCAAAGCTCCCTAAAATCATAGGGATGAAGCAAATCGAGGTATTGAGGTTGGAAATTAAAGACAAAAAATTTTACACCCCCCACCCCCACCAGGTAAATCACTTCCAAGCCTAAAAATAAAATCCAATAAAGTGATTTTCGCTGAAAGAGTTCAAAAACAATAACACAATGACGTACATTGAAGCGGCATGGAGATTGGAAAGCCCTGCGTCCTGGCTGCACTTCGAAGGCATTTTATCATCCATTGGGGAAATAAACCCGTCAGCGTCATCCTCAAATCGGTCTAGGAAGCAGCACGCACTGAAGTCGGTTTTCAGAGTGACTGTGAAGTCAGGCCTCGTGTTGGTATCATCCTCTGAACCCTCCTCTTCTTCCTGGGGACACAGAGCCACCTCGGTAACACCTGGTTATTTTGAGGGGGGGCGGCGGGGACGACAAGCTCATCAAATACCTTTTAACAATCACCTAGTTATCTGGACGTCACCTAAACGTATGATTCTAGCTTCCTCTACATCTACATTTAGTAAGACATTTGGCACATTATGGAGATAATAATTAAAGTTTATATGTACAGTCTAAATAAGATACATCCCAAACACAGCCACTCAATAGGCGAACAGACTATAAAAATGTGTTCTCCACAGTTAGCTTACAGCACTGTGATCACTTGTCAGAGCCGAGAAACAACCAGCCTAACTTTACAGCTTAACTCAGAAGAACCCCAAATGCCCAAATGTACAGTGCCGTGACAGCACATAAGAAGAGGCGGCAGGACCGGCAAACAGTGCCTCCCAGGTCTGCTATTCCCTGCAGGCCTCCAACCCTTTCATTAAGCTAGGCGCATTTTTAGAAACAGAAAAAACACAGCCTTCCCAAAGAATATGAGTAGAGATAAAAGTAGACATTATAAATACTTCTAAAGTATTTTATGGCTGCTTGAAGCACACAATTTTAAGAAATCTTTGAGAAGATTAAAATATTTATCTTCTCCTAATTAGGGTAATAAAATTCACGCATTTTCTCTTTTCCCCAAGGAACTTCCAAGAGCCATAGCTGTATCTTGTAGTAGTTAAGTTTCTAAGAAATATAAGCTAGTCGGTGTCGGTTCCGATAATGTAATTAGGAAAACAATCAAGTCAATCTAATTTTTAATGGCAATCTGAAGGCATATCTGCCTAAAGACTAGATATCACTAGAGATCCAAAGGAAAATTTTAATTTGATTAATTTACTACCAAATTATACAATCAGATCAGAAGAGAATATATTACTGTCTGGAAAAACTAAAAACACGGCTTAGGAATGTTACTACAGGAAGTACAGGGAGTACAGCATCGACTGTTACAATACAATCAAATGGCTTCCATGCAAAGAAGCAAATCATTCTCAGGTAGCAGGCAAACAGTAGTCAGAACAGGAAGTCCAAGTCCAAGTTTGCAAACTGCACAGGGAGGTTTTCTTATCATAAACATTGGTGTGTTTTCATGGTGTCTCTGAGAAATAATGGGAACATACAAACATAAGCCCAGGAGCTGGGAGGAGACTGCCACACGACTACCAGGAGAGCCATATAATAGAGGCAGGAAAATGGAAGTGGCCAAAGCAAGGTGGCCTTTCCTAGTTTTTAGCCACGACTCTGGGTCTTTAATCTCTCCCTCTGGTCCATGGAAATCAATGTCTCATTAATACTTTTGTATGCTTAAATACTTAAAAAGTTACATAGAATGAAATAAAACTGTCAAATCAATAAAGCTTACTTAAGGCGTTTTTATCAGAATCAATTAAGATGATGTATATAAAGTCTAAGGGTAAGGCAAAAGGTTCTGCTACTGGAACTAGGGTTCCGTTTAAAATGCATGCGGTTTGGACGTGTCTGTGTGGTTAGTGGATGGCTGCAGTTTTTCTCAGGAATATGACGCTAGTCTTGGTCTCGTTAGGGTGCCCTCAAAATGAAGGTCCAACCCAAACAGTAGCTTCTGAGGGCTTCTGCCAGTTAAATTCAAAGCAGGTCATTTCAGAAGGTGCGGTGACTCCTTCCGGGGACTTCAAAAGGGTTAGCTTGGTAGACTTTCTTAAAGGACACAGTACAATCACAGGGCCTTATTACGAAGGCGTTTTAATAAAATTAAAAATTGCATTAGTGAAGAAAATGCCAGGTAAGTTGCCCTGACAACCCCCCTCCACCCCTCCTTCTGTCCGCTGTCACAACAACACAATTGCTCACAATCCCTCCAGGTTAGCCGGGGTACCCTCAGAGAATTTCATTGGGACACCTTACACTTTCCAACCCAAAGTCCTGCTTGTGCCCCTTGAGACTTCATTTTTGTTCCCTAAACTCAAAGAACACTAAAAAGGAACATGATTTGAGTCCCTCAGAGGTGCAAAAAGAGCCATTGTGATGGGGTATAAATCAGGGTGCTAGATTCTCTGGGGAAGGGTAAGAGAGATGAAACATGGCCTTCAGAGGTACAGAAACCTAGTTGGATGATAGGTCCAGAAAAAACAGCTTCCTGTTTTTATATTTTTGCTTAATGACAATTTCTATTATTTTATAGCAAGACTTTCTCACTCACCTTTCTACCTAACAAGGTAACTGACACACTAAAACCCCAAAGACAGGAAAACCAATAAAAAAAACCCTCAAGCCTTGGAGTAGATTCTAATTCATAGTGACCCCCCCCAAACACAAACAACCCCAGTAAACACACTGCCATTGAGACAGTTCTAACTAATAATGAGTACACAGGACAGGGTAGGACTGTCCTGTAGGTTTTTAAGACTGCGACCTTTATGGGAGCAGAAAGCTCCATCTTTCTCTGGAGGTAGGGCTCGTGGTTTTGAACCACACACCTTACAGTTAGCAGCACACTGTGTAACCACTATGCTATCAGAGCCCCTTTGGCTCATCATGAGAGGGAGCAAAGGTAAGTGTTTTGCTGATGCTCCTCCCTTCCTGAAAGAGAACCGCCTGTCCTTAAGAAGCTCCGTGGAAGAAAGGATTTGGCTGGTCGGATTACTACTATCCCCAGAGCTTGGTTGATACCTGTATATTGGAGGGGAACAATAATGGCTTATTCCGTAGTAGTGACTCCGATGAAAAAGAGAAACACAAATAACGATTAAAAGAACATGAAATCACTAAGACGGGTCAGAAATGAAGGTACAAAGCAACATCTCTCAAGACCTCACTGCTGTCTACTGAAGTCTGAATCACAGCTACCCAGTGTGACAGAGTAGAACTGCCCGTGCCCATTTCCAGTACTATAAATCTTTACAAGAGTAAAAAGGCTCATCTTTCTCCCTTGAAGCACCTAGTGGTTTCAAACTGCTGACCTTGTGGTTAGCATTAGGCACACTCAAGTGTTCTCTGAGATGAAGCTGGACAAACCATTCTCTAACTCTTGAAAAGTCATGGCTCTCTTTAATATGTAACTGTCTCCCTTGCCTAAGCATTTAAAACCAGTAGTACTTTATAAAGAAAATACTTATCTGTACACACACCAGATTCTCAATGGTATCAGAATTGCCAAGAATTAAGAAGTGTGGCCAATGATCAAGCTGTGAGCAACCAAAACACAGCACTATTTACCAAAAAAGGGTAAACACTGCAAAATTACCTGAAATCTTGACCAGTATAAAAGCCAAAGACAAAGCTAAAGAATGAAAATGGGAAGAGTATTCCTTTTAACCAAGAGCATCGCTGGACAATGATTAACAATCGTATTTGAAAGTGTGAGCAAACACGTTTATCTAGTAACAGTTGGGCCTCAGGCTCCGAAAAGAAACAGGCTCAATCTCACCCCCCCAAATGCCCACATTACTTACATGGTAGGGGTTTAATTTTTGTATCAAGTAACCAGTTAGATAAAACCTGTCTTCTTTCAGAACAACAAGGCTTAGTGTTAAAACAAACAAACAAAGCCACTTTCAAGAGACAACAGAGCACCTTGGCCCAAAGTTCAAAGCATTTTCATAAAATTATTTCTTTAGGAAATGATACAGAATGAGCACCATCCCCGGCTGAAACCTTAACTGAGGCCCATGGGCTAGTGAGAATGGGTAAGGGTTCAGAAAAGGAATGGAAGGAAGAAGGGAGGTGTTGTCGCACCAGGAAGCTGAGCACCTGGACGGTACACTGATGAGAATCAGGCGAGAACACAGCGAGGTTCTCACCGCTGTCTCTCAGTGGGAAACCCCACTGCCGTGGAGTCGATGCCAACTCACAGCGGCCCTACAGCACAGGCTAGAATCTCCTGCCAGTTTCAGGGGCTGTACTGTTAATGGCGGAGAAAGCCCCACCTTTCTCCCAGGGAGCTAGCTGGTGGTTTTGAATTACTGACCCTACTGATTGTAGCCCAATGCATAACCACTACACAACCAGACCTCCTTTCAGTGGGAAAGAAGCCGATAATCTGCAAAAATCATTCCTAATGACAGTAAATAAATAACCATCCACTTAAGTTGGAATCATCAGAGAGAGGAATAACAAGTACTGTATATACTCAAGTATAAGCTGACTCGAATATCAGTTGAGGCACCTAATTGTACCACAAAACCTGCATTAAAAATGTGTTGAAAAAATCGGCTTATATATGGTAAACCTCTGAAAACTCACTCTGCCCTTCGGTTCGATTCCCCTTTCTTCTGATTAAAAAAATTTTTTTTAACTGACTTTGTGGTAGTTACATAATCTTGTCAATTTGAGAGGATTGAGAGAGAAGGGGTGGGGTCTAGCTTGTCAATCATGTTGTAGCTTGATGACCTCATCTGGAGGCACTAAGAAGATAAATAGCTCACTGGAGGCGGGACACTCCCTCAGTCCCTGCAAGACATTCTTGTTGACAAGCCACATGGAGACAGGCTGATGGCAGCCAGAGAGTCCTGTCAAAGCTGAGATGCTTCCACTGCCACGGGATCCACAAGACTTTCCACCCGCTGGCCTGTGATCACCCTGCATTTGGCATCATTGCATGTTTTTCATGAGTCTAAAGAGGAATTTATAGATTGGTATTGGACACATGGGCTAATATCAGACTTACGGACTTAATCTTGACTGGGCTAGGATATTTTCTCAATATTCACTTGCACTTGTATATAAAGCTCTTTCTTATGTACATATGAGTCTTCCTGGATTTGTTTCTCTAGGTTAATGTTGGACTTGTGGGCTTGGGCAGCATTGGGTTGGGATGTTTTCGTGATGCACATTTTCTTTACATAAAACTCTCTCTTATACAAGAGTTGCTGTGGATTTGTTTCTCTAAAGTACCTAGACTAATATATCTACCCGGACTAACACAGATTGATTTAGAATGAGCGACTGGCTGACTTTCACCTTCGGGGTTCTCTAAAAGGTCAAGTTAGGTCAGCTGTCTGGAGACAAAAACAAGCAAGAGATTGATCCAGTTAGATCCCTTCAGAGAAACACTCCAATCTGATTACATATCACACCCAGCAAAGGTAGCCACCGGTTGCAGGGATTATCTACATAAAACCCTTAATTAATGCTGGAAAGGCAGGCAGGCCATATGTGCCATTGCTGGTAGTCATTAGTAGGCTATGCACAGATAAAGAGTGGCTTATACAATTAGTGCTAGGGAGTCAGTGTGCCACAGAAAGCAAGGAGGGAGAAAGACAGGTGACATCTCACCAACAAATGTGTCAAGACAACTAAAATAGGTCTTGATAAAATGCTCTTCTTTCACTGTGGCATGTGTATGGGTGTGCCCTGTAACATACTAGGGATCTTCAAATAGTTCGCAGAAAAATTCCATTGTCTTTGAATACCATTTTCCATGAGCTTTTGGAAGCACTCTCATACAAATGTAGATACATAGATATACATACACCTGTTGCCATCAAGTCGATTTGGACTCACAGTGACCCTACAGGACAGTGTAGAACTGCCTCAAAGGGTTTCCACCAATGCTTACTGGAAGGAAGACACCATGCCTTTCTCTCGTGGCTGCTAGAGCCGGGGATGGGTTGGCCATTGGGCATTTGGTAAATGTACTACCAGGTTCTCTCTTGTGTGTATGTGTGTACAAATATATCTTCAGTGCTTTTTAAATTTTTTGATTTTTCTATAAATTCTATAAATACTTTTAAGATAGCCAATGCATGCATTTAACAAAGCTTTGAAATAAAGAAAATCAATTTCCCAGTGTAGTTGTCTAACATCATTGTGAAAAAAGCAAGATAAAATAATGATCTTAGAAGTAAAGAGTAAACAAAGCTAAACCACAAAACTCCAGCAAACGAAAACAGAGGGGGAGTGAAGTAAGAGAGAAATCAGCTGGTCCATGGCATCAACCATCGAGGGTTGTTCAGTCGGTTATGCACAACTACTGGTCAGCCTACATCCACAAAGGGCCCAACCACCAGGCCCGCCCCTTCACAGGGCGGGAGGGAGAACATGAAGGGCGGAGGAGTAGGGAGAGAGTTTACAATGAGATAGTAGCCCGAGTCTTCACCTTGATCTCCTTGAAGAAGGAAGCCGTTTCTCCCTCGATAATTGGCTGCAGCAAAGGGCTTCTCCGCTTGCTGGAGGGGGAACCCTGCAACAGGCAGAAACAAGGAGGTTACACTGTGGATCCCTGGCTGGTCCCTGAGCTCTTTCTCCCTCCTCTGGCTTCTTCAGAATTTTATATCATCTGCTAACTCAATACCTTTAAAACCTTAAAATATCCCCAGGAACACCTGAACAAGAAAGTTACTTT